CGGGGGTCAGAGTGCGCCGATTGTTCAACTGGCTACATCAGAATATTTGAACATGTAATATTGCATGATATGATTTGACAAAATCCAGCGCAAGATAGCAACGTAGAACAAAACTGTCTACAGCGCACCATAACATGACATGGTATACTTATAGTGCGCCACACTAGACGACAATGAAATATGCTGTGGCATGACATGGTGCGATATGGCATGTTATGGTATAATACAATATGCTGTAACGCATGATAATGATGGATCATGCAATGAAGATAAAATAGAACACAGGACATTCAAACCTAAACCACCACTCAAAAGATATATATATATATACACACACACACACAAAAATGCCTGTATAAATAATATGAATATAAATCGATCAGTACAACATATATTTATGTACAACAAAACGTTCTACCATAATGTAGTATCAGAACACCGTCTAATATGATACATTGCTGTTTTGTACTGTAGAATAGGATATGATATGGCAAAATGCACAATATCCCACATAGAATAGTATACTATAATTCGTTGAAATGTAAACTTGATGTAGTACAGTCTGTTACGGTAGAATATGATTTGTACCATCTGGCATGTTAAAATTAAAACACGATATGCCATGATCTGGTATATGGTGGTATAACATGATGTGACATGATATAGCATACTATGGTATGACATGACATAACATAATCTAGCTGATTATATTTTACAAAGTATAACTCAAGATAGTATGATCTGATTGGATTCGGTATGATCTATGCCGCAGAATCTGAGCCAACATACAGTACAAAGAATATAAATTGTATGCCACTTGAAGCAAAATAGACATAGGATGGTACATCACATACACAATATATATATATATACCGACATACATATATATATATATCCATCTATCCATCTATCTATTCATTATTTTCATTTCCTCACTTATTTGCGTGTACGCACGCTTTTGGGTTTGCTCGATCCAGCGTCCTTGGTACCACATCTCTGTCGGAACAATTGCGGCCTGAGCTGAAGTGAGAAATCCGCTTCGTGGCGGATTCAATTTCAGTCTTAGATGCCATGTGAGCAAGCCTTTGCAAGTCTTGCACTGCCTCCGCAGGCGCGGGAGTGGTGGAGCACCCAAGTTAGCGAAGATGAAGAGCAGCTGTCCCAGCTCACGGCCTTTCCTAGTTTCGTGCGCACCGGCAGTTCGCTGAGGTTTGACACCGGTTGTTTGTGCCTGGCCAACATTGACAATGAGCCCGAGCCCTAAGGATGAAACTGGCCGCACAGCTTTTCCGCCCAAGTGTCTTTTAGTTTGAATTTTCACTACAAGCAGATATGACTCGCGACCGTCTTCTCGACAACTTCATCCTGCTTGTGTCAACTTTTGTGTCTTCGGACCTTGGGAAGCTTCTGCCTAAGGCCAAGTGGCGCCAACAAGATCATCACTGGAAGCTACCAGGGAATGCTCCGCATGTGCGCTTCGACCATGTGGATGTAAGAGATGTCGAGTGGGCTCCCATCATCAAGTCCGAATAATGCTTGCCGCATGTTTGCTCTGTGTTTTCGCAGGTACTATCCGAAGCAGAAGGAGTACAAAATCGAGGACCTCATCCTCGAGAGCAACATGGAGGCACCCGACATCCGACATGGCTATCTTGCTCTTGCGTGGAGTGTTTTTTGGCATTGCACATGCCGTACTCCCAGGCGCCGATCCTTCAGATTGAGGCAGGCAGATTTGTGCAGGGCAGCAGCCAGCCAAGATCTGTGGAAGGCATGCATAGGAGGTGTGGGAGAATGCCGGACTGGCTTGTCGAAGTGCATTGCTCAGGTCGAGAGATCTGCATGGCCTTGCTTCACCCACTGAAGCTGTCAGTGTATATGGTGTGTTGGTCTCAGCATCCCTTCTAAGGGCATTGGCAGGAGACCGGGCCCAGCGCTCCCTCAGACCCATGTAGATCCATGTAGTACTAGCAGCAGATTCTTGGAAACATAGTTCAGTGTTTCATGCGCCGCATCAGCGGCTCGCAAGGGTGCAAGTGCTTGCCATTGGAACATAAAGGTCGGCAGTTTCGTCTGGCGGCTCGGTTAACTACTACTCCATGGCCCTGGCCTATGAGCACAAGCTTTCAAGGCACTGAAGTGGAGCGGACATCCTTAAGGCCTTAAGGCTCTGCGTTTTATCCGTGCTCGGGAGGCCGGCCTTCAACATGTGTTACGGATGTTTTGGTGTGCGACCGAGCCCATCGCTGTGAGCCTGAGCCCATGCATCCGCATCCTGCCAAGGTGGCGTTAGAGATCGTGATTACTTCTGTGTCCAGCTGGGCACTCGCGTGGCCGAATCGCCGAGCTTGAGCTTTTGTCATGCAGGAGAGTTTCTGTGAGTGCCCAGGTCGTTGGATGGCGTGCTGTCCTTCTTCGAGCAGGACACTATGAGTAGGCTCGGCCACGGAGGCAGGAGGCAAGGCGTCACGCCACGTCAGGAGTCGTTCGCCTTCAGCCGGATGTTGACAACAAATTTTCTGTTTCGATCTCAGATTTTGTTTCAAATCGGTTCTGCCCGAGCTTCGGCACGTGAGAGACGAATCAAGCGCAGGGTGCCCGGCCCCATATGCTATGTGCCAAAGATCGACAGCTTTGTCATATGCAGCTGGCCTGGCTTCGTCTGCACAGCAATCTCGACATGTCTGGTTCGCTTGTGTTTGAGCGACAGTGGCAGAGTCATGGCAGCTCAACATAGCAAAGCCAAGGCACCGATGCAATGTGTATAGAGGCCTATCGGTACCAGGTGCGGGCGAGCAGAATGCAAGCATGACCTTGCAGCTGCCTCAAAATTTCTGGCTCGCATGCTGTAACACAGGTTCTGGCAGCTGCTGCAGACAATGTGGACCAAACAGCAGGTCTGCACTGTCGCACGAGAGTAGGCGTTTGAGCCCGATTCACGAATTCACGTCAGTTGAAGGAGACGGCGCCCCTGGCAAGAAGGTCCAGGCAAATGTTTCATATGGTTGCGTTTGCTTGAGCAGACAGTAACAGACAGTAAGCATAGCAGTACTTGTAAATCTGGGCTGAACGGGTAGTCAGTGACTAAGTTGAGACCTGCAGAGCATTCAACATTGAAGGATGGTCACAGGGGAGAGCAAACCACCTCGCGCCAGCAATCTGGTGACTTTGCGCCGCGAGTTTTTGTATGTCGCCAGGTCAACAGATTGCTGGCAGAAGTTTGCCCTACACACACGCACAGCCAGACAGACACGCACACACACACACACACACACACACCCACACCCACACCCACACCCACACACACCCACACACA